GTCTCTACTTAGCGTTGTATCTCTCTCAGTTCCACCTTTTTGGGACATGGATCCTCTTTTGTGGTTCGCTCATCTTGATGCCGAGTTTTATAACCACAGAATCACTTCCGACTATGCGAAGTACTGCAAGCTCCTGTCCTATCTCCCCAAGGAGATATCAATGCAGGTTCGTGACGTCATCATTTCTCAGACCGAAAACCGCTATGAGGCTCTCAAGGAGGCCACGATTAAGCGTGTTATGCCCTCTGAGAAAGCTCGCCTTCAACAGCTTTTCAGAGATCTGCAGCTGGGCGACAAACTGCCCTCAACCCTGCTACGAGAGATGCCGCAACTCCTTGGTTCTTCAACCATGGATGAGACTTTACTTCGTGAACTATGGCTACAGCGGCTACCGGAAAACACACAAGCGATTCTCGCTACAGTGAGCTCCGTTCCGCTCACTCAACTAGCAGACTTAGCGGATCGAGTTATTGAACGATCACAGCCACAGGCCAACGCCAGCAAGGTCCATGCCGTCGCGTCCCAGGGCACTTCTATCACTGGCTTACAGTCAACTATAGAAGCCCTCCAAACACAAGTTGCGACACTTAGTCGCCAGGTGCAACAGCTTACTATGACCCGTCGTCGTCCTAGCCGCTCAACATCGCCCTGCAAACGTTCTAAGTCTAGAAACAGGCAGGCTAGCTGTTGGTACCACCAGCGTTTTGGTACCGCAGCTCGTAAATGTGTCAAGCCTTGCAACTACGCCGAGCAGCAGGGAAACTGCTCGGCCGGTCGGTAACGGCGACGGACGCGACCGGCCAACACCAAAGTCGCCTCATCCGTGTTAGGGATTTAACTTCCGGCACCGAGTTTCTAGTCGACACTGGTGCCGAAGTTAGTGTTATACCCCGTAGCGCAAATAAGGTCGTCTCACCATCGCCGACCAAGCCGCGTGCCGCCAATGGCACACCAATCGCAACTTTCGGCGAAAAGCTGTTAACGCTCAATTTAGGCCTCCGGCGAACCTTTCGCTGGCCTTTCATAATCGCTGCTGTGCCTTTCGCCATCATAGGCATAGACTTTCTTCAACGCTTCGACCTCATCGTCGACACCAAAAGGAAGAAGCTTATCGACTCTAGGACACAGCTCAGTGTTATCGGGACTAGCGCCAACGTGGCTGCTATCACTCCCATTCGTGTCCTACCTCAAGCTTCACAACCATTTCTAGAACTTTTCAGCAAGCACCCTAAACTCGTTCGCGTCCTGAACGACTTGCCTCCTGTGACGTCGAACGTCATGCATTACATTTGCACTAAGGGCCCACCTGTTTCGGCCTGCCCTCGCCGACTAGCCCCGGACAAGCTCAAAGCTGCTAAGGCGGAATTCGAGCAAATGGTCGAACTGGGAATCATCCGCCCGTCCATAAGTCCATGGGCATCACCATTACACATGGTGCCGAAGAAATCCGGTGACTGGCGCCCTTGTGGTGACTACAGGGCACTTAACAAAGTTACCGTCCCGGATAAATACCCTATTCCACACATGCACGACTTGACCTCAGCTCTAGCTGGCAAGTCTATCTTCAGCAAAGTCGACTTAGTTCGCGCCTATCATCAGATACCTGTCGCGCCAGATGACATTGCTAAAACAGCAGTCATCACGCCATTTGGCCTTTTCGAGTACCTCAGAATGCCTTTCGGCCTCAGCAACGCTGCTCAAACTTTTCAGCGTTTCATTCATGAGGTAACGCGAGGACTCGAAGGCGTTTATGCTTATCTAGATGACATTCTTATCGCGAGCTCTTCTGAGGAAGAACATCTTCGTCAACTCGACGCTCTCTTCCAACGCTTAACACAGCATGGGGTTACCGTCAACCCCGATAAATGCGAGCTTGGCCAAAGTTTCATCGACTTCCTTGGCCACCGCATATCTGCCTCTGGTATCGAAGCCCTGCCAGACAAAATCCAGGCACTGAAGGACTATCCTGCTCCCAGTTCCTTCAAGCAGTTACGCCGATTTCTTGGCCTGGTCAACTATTACAGACGCTTTATACCTAACTGCGCGAGCATTGTTCAACCAATGACTGACTTGCTCCGCGGTAAACAACGGTCTTTTCACTTTACAGACGACGCTAAATTGTCTTTCGAGAAGCTCAAAGACGCTATCTCCAACATAGCGCTTCTCGCCCATCCAGACACGTCTGCATCACTCTCTCTGACAACTGACGCATCAGACACTGCCGTCGGTGCAGTTCTTCAACAGCTCATCGACCGTCGATGGATACCTCTAGGTTTCTTCTCAAAGCGCTTACAACCTGCCGAATCGCGTTACAGCACCTTCGGTAGGGAACTGTTAGCTATCTACCTAGGTATCCGACATTTCCGTCACTACCTCGAAGGTCGACATTTCACCGTCTTCACCGACCACAAGCCATTGATCTACGCAATCAATGGCGCAACGGACAAGTATTCACCGCGGGAAACTAGACACCTAGACTACGTTTCTCAGTTTACGACAGACGTACGTCATGTCTCAGGTGCTCTCAATCCCGTCGCGGATGCGCTTTCACGCATTCAGCAGATCAGCTTATCGCCTGGCACCGCAACCTCAGACGAGTCAGTCCGCTCCAGCAAAACCGACAACCACAACCGACAGCACTCCTACCCGCCCTACTCTCAATCAACGCGGTAGGAAGCTCAAACCTAAGGTTCGTTTTTCGGACTCCGTTCGCACTTACTATTTTACGTAGAACGTGCCTTCGTAATCTTCTGCTCTTACCAAACGTTTACAAAAATCCACAAAAAAAGACCAAAACGTTTTGAAACTACCAAAAAGGAGCAAAACTTTTTGAAAACCCAAAAACAGCTTTGCACGTTTTTCGCTTTACACTCTTTTGTGTATGGCTATGCATTTATGCTGCTTTTTTCATTTTGCTTTCCATATACACCGTCGGTTCGTTGCACCTCGGTTTCACTTTCCGCTGGATCCCCGCACGTCAACTGCAAGTGGAACGAACTTCCTGTTCAACCGCCTACGTGAACTTTACTAACTGTCCCCCCACGAACAGTTTTTTTTACTGTTTCGACACCGTAGGGAGGACACGGGTGGGAGCCCGCTAGGGTCCGATTGCATGGTTCTCCCCCAGCAGCTGCATCGGGTTTCACAACCTGGTCTCGCAGAAGGCTGGCCGGCGACGGACAGTCCTCACGTAGATCGAAGGACTGCTTACACAGTCAATTCTGGGAGAGGGCTCTGTAGCAGTCTGGAGATTCCCCGGTTTGCTTGTGTAAAATTCTAACCAAAATTCTATAATTGTACACTTAGGCAACCGGTGTGGTTTGTTGAACTGCTTGCTGAGTTCGAATGCTTTACTTGCTCATCGCCATTTTTGCTTGGCGCTCGCTTCGGTTGCAACGCGCGACTGCTCTGTGTGCTGTGCTTGATCCTTTTCCCTAGCTAGAGCGTCCACGGTGTCGTTCGTTTATAGCTAGCTAACAGGGAATCTTTTGCTGAACCAATAAAAGTTTCCCTGCAACTCGATCCGTCTTCTCGAATCGCTCTCTGGGCTCCCGGAATAGGCAACCCCCCAAAGGTCTCCACTGCAGTTAGCTTCTTCAATTTTGAAAGAACGCCAGGCGAAAACAGACCGTAGCTTTGATGGATAAGCGGTACACAGGACGTCGAAAATCAGGCACCTGTCGAAATGCGTGATCAATCAAATTCAGCTGGTCTTGACAACTTCTATCATTAACAAGGATAGGAAAGCCGAACCCGAGTCTACTGCATCTGCAACCAAAGGGTCTCTGGTCGACTTCAAATCCTTCGAGACTCCAGTCACATAGGCACGGAAAGCTGTAAAAGTCCGTCGGGATGCAACCTTTATTGTCTCCGCTGTTGCAAATGTCGCTAACGCTAATAGAGCGACAGAAGGTGGACCAATATCATTTGGCATAAAGCCAGGTCCATGGATCACCTGACTTTGCTGGTCAACAAAAATAGGCTCCAATAATAACTCAGTAAATGTCGTCTGCACCAATGTCCCGAATCTACCGCCATCACATTGCGGGGTAAGTTTTCTGACGACTAAGACCTGTGGAACTCATTATGCATTTTAATGAACGTAAATGCCCAACCCACAAACTTAGTGAAAGTTACTTGTTAACCGAACTCTGCACACTATGGCGAACCCAGAATTATTAGTATAACGCTGGTGTCGGCCATTGATGTTGAAAACGTTTTACTCTGCAAGTGCACTACAACACGGGCCTTGTAAAACACGCATCTATCCTGAAGGCTCTTGAAGCACCCGACAATCGAAAAGTAACATCACAGATACACCTAGCAAGCTAGATTGTATAAGCACCATATTTACTTATGGTGTGCCAGAACATGCTTTTCACGATAGTCATGAGACCGGTAATCACGATTTGGGACAGTGGCGGTTCACTCGTGAAACACTTTCCTAAGACAACGTTGTGAAGCGATCGCTCAAAAGACTATCTCTTTCACCAAATCATAGAGGAAGCAGACCAAGAATACTAAAACTCTTGTTTCGGTCAGAGCAAACAGCAACGGAAGTATCAGAACGTTGGTGAAGACATCGTAAAAGCCTTCCAACGAAATTTCGGTTAAAAGCTGCAGCATCGTTGTGACGGCTAGACATAAGCCTATCTGAAAAGTGGCCAAGCCACGGTGATTCGCAAGTCGCTGTACGTCATTTGTGCTGCAATAATCCTGAGCCTATTAGTAGTCATATTGGTAATCAATGCGGCGAAAAAACTGCCAATGAATGCTATTTTTCGTAATAACTGCCCCTTGGAAAGTCTTTTGAAATCATTCCGTTAATCTCCAAATATGTGCACACCTTCCTGGGATCCGGAATTTTGCATTAACATTATTTCTTAACTTTCTCGTTTTCGAAATGTTTTAAATGCCCACATGATAAACTGCCTGAAGTATGGTTCGACATATCTTACTGTCAAGTAACGTATCTCTTCATGTAAATGTAAGTAACCACCCCATAAAGTTCGTATGGTTATTCATTTTTGATAAATTTTCGATGAAACATTCAAAGTAGCGTAGCCTATGGGACCAAGTAGATCATTATTTCAGTAGTGTATTAAACAATCCCTTATGGTAACTTTTCCGATTGCAAAGTCCTGTCGTTTAGCGCCGTTTAGATGTAGACGGTGGAGAAACAAAGTCCAGCAAACTGAGACTAATCACTGCAAGTTCATCACACGAACTTTGGCTCATTCATTGTTTGTCTGGACAACTTGTGTTAGCACACTGACGCCACACGACCCGCAAGGAAAGAGTTCACTGGGTAAGCACAGAGCAGTTCACACCATTCCACTGTTTCGTAATTGTTTGCATTTCCGCCGCAGCCTCCATAAGCGAACCGAACGCATTTATTCCGCTCCGGGTCGTACGCGTATCGTTCCAATCTCTTGTGACAAGGTCCCCTGTCCATTGGAGCCATGCACAATTTGCTACGCACGTAATCTTCACCTAGAAAAATGACAAAAAGTAGTCACGGCTACATCAATGCATCCTATTATCGATATGTGATAAACATTCCAACTCGTCACACATCTATCACGGGACCCGTACGTAACACACGTCACCAAACGGATCAATTAGGGGCATATGGCAATGCGCAGCGGTCGGGAAACTAGATCATATAACAACAACCTGTTTATTCAAAAACAAGAACAATAAAAAGGACGGAAGGAACGGTACATAAGTGCATTCACAAGGTACATTGTTGAACGGATTCCACTAATAACGTCGTCGCTGTGCACTTGTTAATCTTTTGAGAAGCTTACTCTATTGCAATCCATGCCAGCAAATCAGATTACCCGCCTTGAGGATCAGGTAGTTCTGGGACCTCTAATGTCCAAACCGCTGCGTTCCCCAATATATCATTTTAAAAGCACGTTAGCGCATTGTATCAAGCTTTTAACGTGACACATTTTCGAAATCGCGTTCTGTGCTTTAAGTTAGCGGGGCTAAGAACGCTGTTTCTGAGCCGTTGACCCTCTCATTGGTCATAGGACGTTAGCCAATGGGACACCGGTTAGAAACCCGAGCGTAAACGACAGACATTAAAATGAAAGTGATCGAACGTCACCTTCTGTGTTGTCTTGATGCCCACCTGAAGTAAACCTCGATGATTGGTCTCCAAACTGAAACCGTCCAATGGGCAACTTGTGCTGCCTGTCTAAGTAGATCCTAACTACAACATGATCCGAAGCTTACGTCATAACCAGTGCGGACAGACAAAATAACCAGCACATGAAGCGGTCTATACTTAGTGATCGCTAGTGGCTACTTGGTGGTGGCTTTTTCAACAGCCAAACCATGTTGGCTTAGACAGGCAATCTTCTAACTTGTATTCCGCAGTCCCTGAGATCTGAGAGAGTGAGATGGGCCTGCATTTGCGGTCGGTCAGGCATGCGCAGTGGCTTGGACACCGCACACCCAAACCTGAATCAGCAATGGCTGCTTGGCGGTTAGACAATTTTGTTCGATTAATATTACGACCACCATGGGGGAGATTGTTCCCATTGAAGTTGGTAGATCAACCTGCAACTGAACAACTAAAGTTCTATGTTCGCTTACTTCTGTCACAGTTGCTGACTAAACACAAAATAAGAGGATTCCAAGTATGGCATTGACACACCGTTAGTGAGTGTTCGTTTATCTCCACACTCATGAGCGACTTTGTTAATCAGTTATCGCTTCAGTGTCTTCATGTATGGCGTTATTTAAAGGTCATAGGAACCCATGTATTCATAGGATAATTAGGCTTTACTTTCAAATGGTCGCCCATATGTGTTGAGACGCTTTGACAAGTGGCTCTCTGAATGGCACCATTTGAAGTACAGTCATTGCAGATGGAACCACCCTATAACGTGCATGGACTGGAAAGCTATCCTCATGAAATTCTCAGCACTCAACAAAGAAACACCTAAAGGGGCTACAATGACTACCGTATTTATACATGCCACATCCTCCTGCTCGAAAAGAACGCAGGGCTGATAATTAGTGGCGACGCAGGCATTTCACTCTGGTACTTCAGGTGAATATTTGGAACAGACAAACACGGTTGTCTCACCCACGGGCCTTCCTACAATGTGTTTGCAATCATTTACAAAGGCAACCGCGCCCACTAATCCTGCTATGGACCACTGTTTCAGCTAGTCTTAGAAGCAGTCATGTGTGCATGCCGTGACACAGGTTGTTATCGACTTGGCAACTACTCGGAAACATTTTGTCATAGGAAAGTAGGTAATTCCGGAGACATTGATGAAGGAGGAAAATTGCTCCAAACCCTATGCTTACCATGCGTATGCAATGCCCGATGGCAGCTCAAATCAGGGCCTTACGGTCACATGATATTTCAAGCTCATCCATCTCATACTAGTGAGGCGGAAATGTCATGTTGAAACGCAGGATTGACATGCATCTACGACTAAGTGACTGCAGATGCATGGGTATTGAAACGATAACTGATTACCGAAGTGGCCCACAGGTGTGGAGACGAACGAACACTCACTAATGTTGTGTCACCGCCACACTAGGATCGCTCCTCTTTGGAACCATGGTTAAGGATCCACTGGTGGTCTTGCCTAACCAACGAACTTGCCCTTAGTATACGATGCGCCGACTACATCAGCAGTACGTAGCTACGCTATTCACATGAGTGTACGGCCAACTGAAACAATAGAGCACAGGAACCATGTAGCTGTAAAGGCTATACAATTTATATTTGCGAACAAGTCCTAGATTTACCTCCTTCATACGAACTACTGTATTGTTTCTGAATACCTCACACTGACTTAACAAGCACATGCATTTCCTAAACGAAATGGCATACTGATCGATTCTTCAGATTGCTCGCAGTGGCTCGATTACACAGCATACCGTATCACGTGTGACCAGATTGGCAAGCGAGCAAGGAAGCCAACCGTGCAGTCCATCCGTAAGCTTTCAAAGCTTCTCTTCCAACAGCCTGCAAGGGTTGCAGCCTCAACACAATCAACCAATCCGCTACTTATCACTACTCAATTGGATGTCATCTTGCTCGTGTAAGCCTTCATAACTTCTCTTCCAACAGCCTGCAATCGTTGCAGCCTGAAGAGAAACAACTAATCAGCTACTTATTACCACTCACTTTGTTGTCATCTCGCTCACGTGTTAGTGAAACCTTCTTACGCCATATTGGCAGCATGACTAATCACGTATTATATCCCCCATCGACTGATCACCCTCGACACCATAGAAGTGTGCTGGTACACCGATTGTGACCAACAGGTGGGCGACCGACAAACGGAGCCAATAGTACAGCGAACCCGCAAGCCTACAGGTAGTTTTAAACAAAGAAATCATTTCAATATATGCTCTTGTTTAAAACTATCAGCACATTCTGTACCGCACCATTGCGCACCTGAAGGAAAGCCGAGGCGTTCTCTCTGAAGTCGGGTCGTCCAATCGACATGACCGAAAGCGTTCCGACTAGTGAATCCGCTCACAGCGTCACACTTGTTAGTCTTCTCTTTGGTGTGGCCGCAGACTCGACCGCAAAGTGCATCGCGTGATACGCAGCGGACCAATGTGGTCCAGAGCACACGAGAAGTTTACTGGTCTACGAGTGCGAACGAACCGGTAAACTACCAGCTGAAGCGATCGATAGTACTGGTTCACCAGCTGCAGGAAAATCTAAATCACAGTCAACTCACTGTTAAGTTCCGATTACGGTGAAGGATAAACCTATTTAGCATGTCGCACACAATCGAAGTAAACGTTCCATCGTAATTTCACAGCAGACACACAGCGTATGCAAACAGCAGCGGCACATCTGCAAATCAGCATGACGAGAAAGTGGATTTTTTAAAGAGGTAAATTCGCCTAGTTTGGCATCAATTCACACAAACTGTACAGAGAGGTGTCGTGACTAAATGATTTCACGAAGTAACATGTGAACAATACTAACCACTACATGGTTGCAGAAGAAATCTGTCGATGTAAGCTACGTAGATTGCAGTGTAGCGTGCTATTAGGTAAAGCTTAGGGCCTTCCTCCACAAGCTGAGAGTACGCAGTATTAGTGGATCACTGCTCCAGTGGGTCTAGGATATGCTCTTTAGCCGAAAATGGAGGGTACATATTTACGGCCACCTTAATGACTGGTATCCCTGTACAAGTGGCGTACCCCCAAGGCACGGTTCTAAGGCCCGTTCTGTTCCTAGTCCAGATCAACGAGCTAGCTCATCTCCATCGGTCAGTGCGTGAACAGTTTTGCGAACGAAGGGAAAATTTGGAGAGCGATTGGGCACCTGAGACGACTGCAGGCCTACTTTAGCATGACCTAAACCGCCTCTTCATGTAGTCTGCAGAAGTCTGCCTCCCGGTCAACCCAAGCAAGCCATGTTCATGAGACCGGGAAACAGTGACGACGGCCAACCTTGCACAATGAACAGCTAACCGCAACATTCCACACTTTGCGTGAAGGACCTAGGTGTCCTGTGCGGCTACGATATAAAATGCGTTAAAACAAGAACAGATTATATAGTGACGGACTGCGCATGTTTTGGGCAATCAGACACAGCTTCTGTACTTGGTCTGAAGGGGTCACCGCTCTCCTTTTATCTTCCATCATAAGAGCAATACTGAATTACAGCTCACTGGCCTACTGTCCAATCATCCGAGGCGAGACACAGAAGGCCGAACTGATTCAAAAGGTCGCCACTAGGCTCATTCTAGGTTTACTTGAATTATCGTACGAAGACCGTTGCGAGAAACTCGGACTCTACACTTTGTCCTATCCTCGGGTGCGAGTCGATCTCATTATGGAAAATGGAAGCTTGGTATAATAAAGATAGAAATGCCAAGTCCCGTGAGATAGTTTTGTGAATTACGTAACTTCAAACGGGAGTTATACCAAAGTGTAACGCGCATCTGTGGACTCACCATCTTATACACCATAACGAAAAGTATACAGTTCTACCACGATTTCGTGGGGATTGATGATCACCAGGTTTGTCTGCGTCTTTTCGTCACTCAGTGAATAGAAATCAAATCAATTAATGCGGAGGATGTAATACATCGGCAAGTCTATTGTAAAGTTGGGTAGCGTGGGAACAGATAAGACAAAGGTCGAAAGGGCGTTTAGCGTTTGACAAATTAGAAGGGAAAAGTAATTCCGAATGCATTCCAGCCGACTGTGTTGGGTGGCCAGTTTCAGCTGGTGATTCCTCAAAGTTTTGTTGCGGCAAACCCGACCAAAGGTTTTCAAGATCTGGAACGCCAGAATGAGGTCGCCTCGTAGACGACGATATCGCTATTTACTCTCAGAGATTTCAGTCGCAGATGGTACGGCAGGTGAAACAATCTTTTCATATTTTCGTTGATTATGGCAGTGCGGTTTTCGTGTAATCAGATTGCTTTTTAACCGCGTTTGCCAGACCTTGATGGCGTACTCAACTTTGGACCTCGCATATAGATTCA